TATCTTTAACTTTAAAGACCTTCATTTATACATACATATAAATAAAAAAGAATAGCAATGTTTACCATTTGTTAAATAATAAATAGTATTATAGTATTACTAAATTTATGAACTGGAATTCGTACCTTATCATTCTTTTTTTATATTTTTGCGATATTATATTTCTTTTTATTTGTATGAAATCTATACTTATATAAGGTATCAGTTTATAAAATTTAGTAGTTTAAAAAGTCAACGTAATTAATGCATTGCTATTTCTATGTAGAATTTTATTTAAATTTATAAAATCATTTTTTTTTTAAATCTCATAACATCTGATAAGTAAAAAAAAAAAACAACGTAAAATCTTTACTAAAACAAAAAAAAGGCTTTATTTATTTGTCTTATTCCATATTAACATCAATTTTGTCAAAACAAATCCTATAAAATCGGGGAAGTCAAAATTTGTACGTAAAGTCTATCTATACTTAAAAAAAAAAATGCAGATTCAAAATTCTTTATCTAATTCCTTTCTTTTCCTCATCTAATTCCTTCTTATTACCTAATTGTCTGGAAATATGTTCTAATTTTGTTCAATCCTCTAATTGTATTTGTATTATATCTCATAAAATCGGTTTAACAAAAAGAAAAACCCCATAACATCCTAAAAAAAATTACGTAAAATCTTTACTAAAATAAAAAAAAGCTTTATTTATTATCTAATTTATTATCCAATTGTATGGAAAATCTGTTCTGATTTTGTTCAAACTGATTTCTGTATAATCAGATTTAGATTTTCTAATAAAAATATTAACATGAATGTATATCTACTCTACCCATTATAAATTACAAATCTCAAAATATCGAGCCATCATTTTCCTCAAAGTCAACCTCCTGCGAACGAAAAATATCTCCAATAAGTCTTTTATTCAAAATAATGAATCAAGGATTTTGGTTAATCAAACAAGTCAATAGATCTAATGGACCTACGCTCAGAGTTCGAATTGTGAGAACGTTTTTCGAAGACTGGGGCAGCACATACAAATCATATCTCGAGTTGGTTCTGCATGATGAAATTGTAAGCCAAATTATTTGAATTTCTGTTTTAATTTTAAAATTTAAAACGTATATTTTATTTTTTTAATTTTCGTGTATGTTTAGATATTTTTGTACATGTTTAGTGAAATATATTTTCAATTTTTTTAATTATATTTTCAGATTTGTAATTTGACTTATTTATTTTACATATCGTATATGTATTTAGATATTTACATTATTTATATTTATTTTCGTGTATTGTAAAACTTTTATTGAATATTGCATCTTATAGTATAATAATCCCCAAATAAATATATCTCGTGTCTCGCACATATCACGTACTATATAATATTAAGGCTGGATAAATGACCTTAGAAATTCTACACCCTGTGTGTCGCGCGGGCTCTGTACTAGTTAAATAAAACTATCCTAGTTCATTATATACACTACTTTTTCACTTCATTATATGATTAATAGAGATGAATGTCTATTTGATTGTTTATGAATTATTTTATTCACATATATTTCGTACTCAAAATTTAACTCAACTTTAACTCAACCACACTATCTTTAATTTTATTCATATAATTAAATGGGAGTTTTTCAAATACAAGACCCAAAAAATAGGTAAACTATCAAATCAGGGTTTGAAAGTTTTTTTTTTTTTTTTTTTTTAATTCAGGACTTAAATGGTATAAAACTAACAAATCAAGTCCGAGAATTAATAAAACGCATAACACCATTAAATTGAAAGTTATAAGGCTACTTTTATCCGTGACCCAACGAGTGGGTCTCTGTAATTAAAAAAAAAAGGAAAGGTCACCAACTTGAGCGACCCAAGTCACATTGTGAACTCGGGTCGCGACCGGTTACTTACTGAGGAAAAATGGGACACTTTTCTCATTTTTATTGAACAAGTATATTTTTTTGTTTCTAAAAGAATAAAAAATATACGAAAACTCATATTTTCTAATTCTCTACAAATAAAGACCATACTTGATATATTTTAGAACACAATTACAATTTTTTAATAAATTAAAATAAAATAATATTTAGGTTGACTTGGGTTTGGGATAAAGATAAATTAATACCAATTTTTTCAAAATTAACTATAGTTAACCAAAATAACTCATTTTGAACAAACTATTTCGTAAACAAACAAATCTTTATATATATATATATATATATATATATATATATATATATATATATCATTTTTTTTAATATTAATCATGTTACAAGATCACACAATATGAATTATTGATGTGAAGTATAAAATCAAATTCTGCATAAAATAATTTTTAAAAATAAAAAGAAAATGACAAAAAAAAAACTACTAACTAAGGTACCATATCTTAATATATCGATCAACATTAAGTATTTATAAAAAGTGATATGTCTTTTATAATAATGACTAGTACATACTCCGTGCGATGCATGAGACAAATATATTAAATGAGTTATTTTCACATCCTTGTTCGTTTAAATCTAAAAAATAATAATGTTATTATATATTTTCTACCTCTTTTAATCAACGTTAAGGGTGTGTTTGGTAAACCTAGCTGATAAGCTAGCTGGTAGCTGATAAGCTATAAGCTAGCTTATAGCTTATAGCTTATGATTTATAGCTGAAAATCTAGCTTATATGATAAAAGTGTTTGGTAAAACTAGCTTATAAGCTAGCTGAAATAAAAAAGTCAACTAGCTTATTTTGAAACGCTACCTAAACAAGCTTATCAAATAAGCTCGAGCTTTTTAAATAAGCTCGTCCTATCAAACGGGGTTTATTTGATACAGAAAGCTTATAAGCTAACCAAATAAGCTATAAGCTAGCTTATTTGGTTTACCAAACATAGCTTATTATACGTGTCAAACAAATGACGAGGATAATTAATGTGTTGTTGTAGCATGAGATTATTTGCTAATCCAATAACAATTACTTGAAAATGAAAGCATCATCACACGATTTGGACTGAGTCAAATACATTGACCGTGTGACCCATAATTTCAAAACTCAGCGATTGCTCGGTCAAAGTTGCGTTAACAATTTGAGTGGAGAGAAGCGGACCCACAAATGACGAACAACTAGCTTGTGCTGCACAAATTAGTTTTATGAATGTAAGTAATTAGATTTGAATGATTAAATTATTGTAATAACGTAAAATTCATGCATTAAAATATAACAAATATAACTTATACATTATTAAACACACTTTTGTACACAACATTATTTATTTAATCTTTTGATACATCGTTTATTGCATTGCATAGCCAAATATAACAGAGATTGTACATAGTCTATGTGCAACTTAGAGGGTTTCAGATGGTTCAAAAACTGGCTTTACCGGTCCAATTTGACCTTTAGTCATGTGTATGTGCAACTTCTCAAAATAACATTTATTATGAATAGAAGAAAGTTTTTTTTTTTTTTTT